GGGTGGGGGTGCGTGTAGAGCCAGTCCCACTGTCCGTGCGGAGGCGGGAGGAGGGGGGTGCGCCCTCCTGCCAGGGAGGGACCCTGTTTACATGGCCCTCCCAGGAGCCACAGTGGAGGGCGGCTTCCAGGGTTACTCTCCGGAGCTCCCGCCTCCCACGGGCAGTGGCTCCCGTGGCCAGAGCGAGCCTGAGCCTGAGCCTGGGTGAAGGAAGCAGGTGCCAGCGCCGCATGGGCCTCGCACACCGGGAGCGAGCAGGGCCCAGGCCGAGGTGCCGCTGCTGCCCAGCGCCGCTGCCTGTGGCCCGGGTGGCCCGTGTGTCCCGGGAGAAGCTTCTCTAGAAAGAACTGTGCAGTCAGGAGGGCCCGGGAAAGCCCGATTCTCCAGGTCCCCTCTGGAGGGTCAACGTTCGCCTGCATTGGTCCATGGCTCTGCGAGGTCCTGTAATAATGTCTTCGTTTCTCTTTGCCTTCCCTTGTATTCCCACATTCCTCTGACTTCAGAACCTTTAAAAATGTTATTAACAACAACAAAACAAAGAGAGAGAGAGAGAGAACCCCACAATTAAGGTGTCATTAGCTTCTCTGGAAGAGAGGTAGCTTCCGCACGTGCTCCCCCTCCTCCCGGCGATGCCTCTGGGGGGCAGACCCTTCCAGACTCACCTTGAGCTCACCCGCTCCTCCACCCACCTGCCCGCAGAGGCCCACGTGAGCCCCCATGGCAGGCGACCCAGCTCCCGGCAGGCGGGTCTGCCCACAGCTCCCCGCGCCCTTCCAGCGCCGCCCTGTCCTGGGCCCAGGGGAACCTCTGGGCGTTCGTCCTCGGCTCTGTTCACTGTGTCCCTGGGCTGGGGGCTGCCAGCAGCAGCTCCAGGAAGGGGGCGGCTTTCGGTGGCACGTGCACCGAATACAGTCCCAACTATGCACCAGCTTTCTGGACGGTGGGGACTTTTGAGGACGTTGGGCTTACATTTTAAGACCTTCTTCGGGGACCCCGAACCCCAAGAAGTGTCCCTGACAATAAAAGAACAGGACCCCGTGCTGCGGAGAAGGCTGGACCCGTGCAGGTATGGCTGACGCCAGAGGCCTAACCCTTGCTCTGTGACTCCATCTTCCGTTTCCCCGTGTGCTCGTGCGACGGTTCTAGTAGCTCCAGGGACGGGACCATGCCCGTCCAGACTGCCATCCTGGGGCCAAAATCTCCGTCTCCAGCCAAATCCCAAACTCACTCTAATGGCCCTGGTGAGGGACACAGGACACTGACCCAGTCCCCGGCCGGGAGAAGGCCATGGGCTGACTTAGGCCTGTGTCATATGCTTCACCTCCAGCTCTAAGGGCCTGGAAATGGGGAGGGCAGCCCCCCGAATTCGGGCTATTGCTGGGAGGAGGGAAGAAGGCTGCTGAGATGCATCTACCCCACGTTAACTGTGTGCCACACTCACTATTTCACTGCGTCTCTCAACCTTCCTGCCTGTGAGGAAGGAGGAACCCCTTTTGTAGAAAAGGAAACCGGCTCAGAGAGGTGAAGCGATTGGCTTAAGGTCACGGAGCAAATTCCGCGGTTCCTTACGGCGGTGCAGCCCGCTTTGGGGCAGAGGAAGGCAGGCTGTGTGCTGGTTCCAGTCGGTGCTGTGGGGGAGGGGGAACCGTTCCTCGGCCCGCTGGTCTCACCATCAAACAGACGAACAGGAGAAAATTCAATGCGTGCACATGTGTGGGAACCCCACATACACCAGAGAGTCAGAGACCCTGCATTCGTGAGAGGTTCAGAGACAGAGGAACATGGGGGCATGTGACGTTCTGAGTGAGGGACGAGAAGGCAGGTGTTCAGCAGTGGGTGGTTTTCTCTGCCCTGTAGGCAAGGCAAGCGGTTATCTCTGAGAGGCTCTCATTCTGGGCAAGGCCACGGCTCAGGTTCAAGTTCTAGGTAGCTGGGGAGGGGCAGAAGGTTCTCGTAAACCAGAAGCTAAATTGCCTTTTGCTCAAAATACAAACGCCACAGGGGCACGGCTCGGGGTGACTCTTTCTGACTCCCACAGCGTA